CAAAACTCTACACCATAGAGCTCGATGTTTTTCTGACCATCATCATCCTAGCCAGAAAACTGGAACACGTACACCAAGCTCTTAAGATGAATGGATATTCAGACTACACAATCCGTAAAGCTATCACCCCAACCAGTAGGAAAGAACCATCTGAGGACCCAATCAAATCATCACCTTGCCATACAAAGCAGGGGTCATCAATTTTTTTCAAACATCATGAACAAACACAAGATCCAGGTTCGATTTAACACAGGATGTGATCCCTCACATGCAATACCCCGGCGTCTACAAACTACGTTGTGTCTGCAGCAGCAGCAGTTACATTGGGGAAACTAAGCGACATGTCTCGGATCGTGTTCATGAACATAAGGCAGATCTGAAACACGGTAGGACCAATACCTCGGCCGTGGCTGATCATTGCTTTTAACGCGGTGGGCTCACACGAAATTTATTTCTCCAAGACGAAGGTACTCTGCAAGCCCACTGGCTATCAACAAAGATTCGTTCATGAAGCCATCCAGATATATAGACACAGACATAATTTCAACCGAGAAGATGGGTACAAACTGAGCAATCATTGGAAGGACGTTATTAACCAGTTTAAGTCATAACTGGCTGTGATGTTCCCATCCTACCACCTTCCGATGTTAGTTGTTATTTTCGGCTCTCTGATTTTTTTACATTAACACAGCTACCTCGCGCGCCATCCTCGTAGCTGCTGCTTCACGATCTGCCATTAACATTCTAATCTCTCACATTAACATGCTCATCTGTCACATTAACAAAGCCACCTTGGCGCACACGCCGTGAAGGATGCTCGGCGATCTTGCATTGACATGCTAATTTTTCCCCGGCAGCCCTTTGATTGGTGGAAAGTCCACCACTTGCATTGGCATTGGCTGCTGACATTTGGGCTACGCCCATTTCAAACCTTTTATAAGCAGTTGTCTTTAGAAGCTAACCCCTCTTTTACTGTGTTGCAATCGAAACGTCGTAGTTTTTTTGTTATTTTGTTATTTTCTTTGAACCTATCTACGTGGCTTTACCGAAAGACCCAAAGATTATGAATTCCTGCAGTCACGAAAGCTTTAAGTCAAGATTTAGCCTTGACAATCTCAATCTTTCTGCGTTAATAAAGAAAATATCTGGGGAAATATATGCATATACTGTACCTGTTAATCCCTCACACGGACATTTATGTGCACATGTGAATAACACAATTAACAGTAGACTCACATTCGGACAAAATTAATAGATCAATGGACACACTTCATCAAGTTATATACCCACATGTAAAGTTAAAACCTGTTAATCATTGCAATGATGTCAGTTAAATAGCTATACACAAATCATGCTGTCATATAATGATATGGGGAGTCGGGGCTTAATTTCAGCCAGAGTCCAGAGCTGTCCAGGGCTGAGCTCTGGAAACATTTCCCCACAAGGAAGAGAGGGAGGGCAGGGGAGAGGGAAATTAATTCCTGTTGTAAGTAGATTGTTGATACGCTATATTTTAATACATGGTTCAATGTATTACTGTACGAACATTAAAACATCTAAAAGAATATACACTCAAACTCGTAAACATTGGCTGCACAGCTTGGCAAGTAGTGATTGATTGATTTTTTTTTATTTGTAAAATTGCACATTCCTAGAAGGACGATACATTAAAGTGAAAGAATAATGATAGTGGGAGGTGGTACTTGCTACAAATACCGGGAGCAGGTGTATACAATTAAAATTACAAACTTTGTAGAGGTGAAAGTAACACAACATGTTGATTTCCACATTTTACAAATGTCCTAATCATAAACAATGGCTCATAGCTTAGTCCCTTTTTGCCAAGCGTCAGAGAGAAGTTAGGAGCACTCACTTCAATTACACCTACAGAGGAACATGGAACCAAAAAAAGCTACATTTAGAAAAAATTTCCCCATTCATTTTATCATAACATGCGATCACATGCAAATGTTCTTCCTAGAAATGAGTCACGATTTCCATATCAACCACAAGGCTAGGTTCTCACGCAAAGGGCCTTTTAAAATGCCATGAAGTACCTTCCTGTGAATACAGTACACATTTAAACATACGTCTAACAAGTGAAACATTTGGAAATGATGTTTCAGAACTTGAAAATACCAAAGAATATTATGGGTCTTGGCATCTCATTCCGCCAATCTGCAAGGTAAGGTGAGAACACACTCTAACAATTGTTAAATCCCTCCTATAGCTTTCATTCCTTTCTAACAACTCCAGTTATTCTTGGACAGCCGTAATTAAATTCAGCTAACGGTCAGGCTTACTGAACCACATTAAGCCCACACATTCCACGAGCCCGGATTACTGAGGCTATGGCGAACACGCAACAACTGCACTCGTGATTTCACTGTGATGTTGCCAGTGAGGCAATATATTCGGTATATTTGTAAGTTCCCTCAAAACACTGCATAGAAACACATTTTCTTATAATGGGATATCAAACAGTGTCATCCTGGCGTAATGGTGGACTTATATTAAATCCCCCTATTTTGTGTACTAATAATAAAGCGTAGTCGATTAACCACGGTAACTGTTTAAAAATAATTCTAGATTTGAAGCTTTCGTGACTGCAAGGATTCATATTCTTAGGTTTTTTTTCGGTAAAGTCACGTAGGTAAAAATTTAAATTAATCAAAGTAAAGTGATACAGCTATCGTGCTGTGACGGTTCCACCTGAAGACAGAAGCTTGTGTTGCCTCCGAAACGTCGTGATTTTTATTTTATTTTTATTTTACTTTTATTAATTTAAATTTTTTACCTACGTGACTTTACCGAAAAAACCTAAGAATATGTTTAAAAATATGTGAGCGTGAGTGCCCACTTTATAATGTCCTATCCACAAAACATCGAACAGCTCCCAACAGCAGCACGTTTGTCAGAACATTAATCAGAGCAGGTTGGAGATACTAACATTTATAAGCGATTGCTACGTTCCATTGCCTTGTACATTTGGCGAACTAGTGTTTCAGCATTCCCCAACACATCGTCCACGCAAGCGGACATGCCCCATTTAGCATCTCCTCCGCCACGACCGCTCCGTTTGCCACGGAGGTCACACGACGCATTCTGCATAGATGGTGGTTATTGTGATGTTTTTTATGCGCTGTACGGTTCGAGAAAATGCTGACACGTAAGTAGAAAAAAATGGGTTTCCTTTTGCAGTTGAAAGGCACACGGCCGCAAGTACTGTAACGATCTAGTTCAACTCGAAGCTATTCAATTATTTGTTCGCATATAGATTACAAACGCGCTATTTTTAACTTCTAGCTGAAAACACCGCAGTGTTTACTCGTATATTTGCTACCTGTATTCCCACAGTTACATCCGGTAATGGATATACACATTTATTTCTTGCAAATTTGCTGCAACTAGGCTGCATAAAATTTACGTTTTGTGTGTTGCAGACAGTACTGAGATCCAGAGAGCCACCTTTGCTCTTTCAGGTCATCACGCATAGATCTTGCACTATCTTGGAGAACACTGACAAAGCACTTGAATGGCACGCTTTCGACACAGCGAATTTTCCCATGCAGGAATTTAATCGTTCACTCCCACTCTTCATTAATTACTACGCACTTTTGAGTCAAATTTAAAAGCCGAGGTCGAAGTATGAACAGCTATTTATGGCTTAACTATGTTCTGCTACTCATGCTACTGAGCCCCATAAAATATATATATTTTAAGTTGGATATTGTTGACAATTGCCTATGTACATTGGATTAACATACCTATTATATGAATAAAATAAATAAGCAATGTCTCTTTCACATATCTGTCTCCATATACAAAATATATATTTCTTACACAATCCATCAGCCACATGGCGTGATGGGAGTGCATCATTTCAGCAGCATTGTTTCAGTACAAGCAAACTGTGGACCGTTTTAAACACGTGTCTCCATCAGCGGAGTCAGACTTGCTTGAATCGGTCATAATGCACAATAACTTGACATCGTTTCTTGACCAAACCCACACTGACTGGAATGGTGAAGTATGGTCAAACAATCCCAACGACCGACAAGGTGTGGGGAGGCCTTCATCGTTGCAGTGGGTTGTGCTGTTTTTGTGTTGAACTTCTTTGGCGCCGTACGTAGCCAGCCATGCTCATCGGGGGTGCGGGTTTGACAGGGCTCAACACAAGTATTATTCTTCTTGGTTCTCTCGGTAAAGTCACGTAGAAGGGAAGTAATAAAATAATAAAAATAAAACATAATATTACTTCCCTTCTACGTGACTTTACCGAAAGAACCAAGAAGATGAATCCCTGCAGTCACGAAAGCTTTAAATCGAGATGTATTATTGACTCAGTAGGATAAAATGATATTAGGTATCACCATCGTCGTTTACGATTTTCTATCCGCTGCTGGATGTAGTCCTCCCCACACCATTCCCATCCTTTATGAACATTTATCTTACGCGATTGATTGATCCATGAAATAAAAAAACACTTCTGCAACTGCTAATTTATACAAAATTTTAGACGTGAGCTAACAACGTTTAGTACCTTAACAGTGAGACAAGCTGCTGCTATAAACGATTCATCATGTAACACATTAAGATTACTTCTTTGCTGTACAACTCCTCTGTGCCGGCCCGTGAAGTGTGATTGTCTCTTGCGTATGCCAGCGCGCTTGTGAGTGTTACCGTTAACATGTTGCGAATTTACAAGTCTCGTGTGACTCACAGCCCGCTCTCCCCCCCCCTCACTTATCTGGTTACACGCCCCATAAAGAAACTTTTGAATAGTTACGGTGCAACGTGGAGTCATTGGGCAAAAAGGCAACCTGTCATTTAAACAGCGAAGAAGAGGCCAACGGTAGGAAAGCAGGCTTGGTTGCTTCAACCAATTGTGACGATGAGATCACACCTGCTAAGAGTGACATATCGGGCCAACCCCCACCCACCCACTCTCTCGCCTCGAGTCCTGTTACATTTATTAGGCAACCGTGCCACCGCAATGCACACAACAGCGGGCGAATTTAAAAGTGCAGACCGCTGGCTGTCAACTGCAGCACTACTATTCTGCTGTCACCAAGCCAGTACAGCGAGGCCCTTTATTTGCAATGGATAAGTCACAGCAAGGGTAAGTGGCTTTTTTCATTTTCATAAGTGTCCCAGAGACGTATCATACACACCTTGCAAGAGACGGACTTTGTTTAAATTGGTTATCGAATATATCTGGTGAGCGACACCATCTCGTGTCACGTGCCATGTGCTTCCGTTTGTACCGTATGAGTTAATAATAGCTGCGTCATGTGACGTTATATGTGCGAAATGCATTTCCTGCACATTACTTGCTTAAATAATGGGAAGAAAAACCGATGACATTCTGTGATATCAACCACATGACATTACCTTGACATATATTTCTGTATATTATATGTATGATTATTTCAACCTGTGTAACATTTCATTGTCAATTATACATGTAATTTTAAGTACAAGACAATTATTCTGATAATAATTGTTATGAATAAGACACTTTTATTTCACTCCTGTGAATGTTTTAATGTTGCCACATAAGTGCAATACTTATAAATATTGTAAGTTATATAGTGGCATCAAGATAAAATGCACGTAATAACAAATATATGACATGGTTCAAATTGAAACCGTGGCTTGTATATCTGCAATATTTTTGAGAGACGCTATTCATACAGTATGTTACAGTGAAAATATATGAATTAATAAAGTGTTCCATAGAAACATGTAATAAAAGCTTGTAAGACATTCAGTATGTTTCCCATTTACCCTGTAGTTTATTGTATGAATGGAAACACAGTGTTTACTAAAATGGCAAGGCTTATGTACGCGTTCATAATTACCGGAAAAGAATGCAATGTTTTTATGCTTTCAGATTTTTAGGCCAACAACACTGTCACCCTTTAGCATTTTGGTTGGTATGTCGAGTGTAGAGTTCAGTGCATCCCGAACACACGGTGTGCGGCAACCCTTGACATAAAAAAGTGCAGAAAATATTTATGATTTTTGTGAATCCGCTCAAACAATTCACTTCTTATTGCGTGAGACTTACAGGCAGAAACTGCCTTGTCAGTTTTATGTCACTGGCTCGGAAACGGCTGCTTCGAGGGGGTCAGAAAACGTACTTAAACCTTGGCTTTGTGCCAAAGCACTGAAGCTTCTCTCTCGACATAAAAACCGGACATTGGTTCTCTGAGGAGGAAACTGGCATCGATCAGCCGGGTCGCGCAAACTACAGCTCACTTAAGGGCATCTATAATCATCGGAATGAGCACTCTCTTGAAAAGTTGCTGAGAAAGTGGTCTTCAAGAAGATATCCCGTCCATGACAGTTCAACCCCATGCCAGTCTCTCCCCCCCTGCCCAACATAAAACATTCCACACATAAGCCCCCACTACTGTGCACTAAACCACAACACAGTCGGGATAGTGCCAGGAATAACTGCCAGATTAAAAGATTTCAGATTTGAGGTTTTTAAGGAAATGTTTTAAAAAATATTCTTCAGATTTTCGGGTCATTGGCATAACATATTCATTCAACGTGCCTTCGTGCGAACCAAAGTGATGTCACGCAATGCCATGGTGAAGCCACTTTCTGTGGAATAAAAAGTGCTGAAGTGACATCATTTCATGTGATCCCACACGTATAAAACAGTCGGAAACAAAACATTTGCTTAGATCATCTAAAATGTTCTAATCTTGGCCTGATTATTTGATTTCATCGGATTAATACGAAAATCGGGAAGACATCCCTAAGTGCACCATTTTGTTTGGCGATGTCATCAGAAATTTATCTTGCTGTCTTGTAAATTGACCTGGTACATTTACATGCACACCTTGGTCCATGTCCTAATGTTTGTCTTCAGACGCTTGTGCGCTCACGTACCGGCGTGGCAATGTGTCGACACAAACGTCACAGACACGCCAGTAAAGAGGAGACAGGCATTACCAGTACTGTAAGGGACAATAAGTAATGCAGAAAATCATTCTTAAACATGAGACCCTGGTTACATTGAAAGCACGCGACACTAACTGAACTAGATTTAATATAGCGTTAGCTTTTCCATTAATCTTTGTCCTGAGCAATTGTGCATGACCTCACGTACCACCCCATGGGGATTCGTTTTCCTTATCTCGCTAATGAGGGATATGGGTCATTGTCATCAGCATACAATTATTTTAATTATTGTTGCATGGTATGCCCACTCAGTAACCAGAACAGGGCTCAACATTCAAAGACCTGCATTACAAGCAGTGTAAGTCAAGTATGGTCATTTGGATCTGCTGTTTTATACACATAAAACATCTGAACCCCTGAAGCATGTGTTTTTTTTTATTCAGACCGGCCATCTGCTTTAATTTTTTACAATGTTCTAAAGTGTAGACTAATACAGTCTAAAAAATATGATACTGGCAAGGGAGGTACCATGATGGAGGTCCCATGCTATAATGCAGTACTGTATTTAAAACTGCGTTTATGTGAAACTGGCTATTAAGGGCAGATTCTTAGGACTATATTTAATAATATAGGTATCATCTTCTTGGTTCTTTCGGTAAAGTCACGTAGAATGGAAATAATAAAATAATATAAATAAAACATAATAAAATAATTCTCACGACGTCTCGGCCACAACGCAAGCAGCCGTCCTCAGGTGAAGAACATTCTACGTGACTTTACCGAAAGAACCAAGAAGATGAATCCCTGCAGTCACGAAAGCTTTAAATCGAAATATAGGTATCCTTAAAAATCAGAATGAAGAAACTTTCACGCTACATCACTCTACTCTTTGAGCAATACATCGTACTTTTGTAAGTAGGTTAAATCACCCACTAAATTACTTTTAAAGCCCTATTGCAAACAAATGCCGTGTGAGGGGGTTACGTGACCGAACTTTGCCACACTACTCTGAAAGCTGTTGGTAACATTTGCCTATATTGAGAATCTTTTTTATATGAATATTACTAAACAGTTTTTTTAAGTTAAACTAACAACAAACAGTAGAGCCAAGTTAGTTTACTATTGTATGTTTAATGTTATATATGTCCCATGAGAAACAGAATGATGACATGTTTAATTTTACTGCATTGTATTAGCTGGCATAATTGACAAACTATTCGCTTTGAGGCAAATAATCTGAAGTGATTTTCTGCTCAATTGAATATTGAGGCATTGGTGCTTATTTCATGTTTACAGCCCTAAGCCAGTGGTGGAAATTCCACATTCCTCTGGCGGGGTCGAGTCCTCTCCATAGGACAATGACTGTTGACTTCCCCACAAAGTGGTACTCGTTTAATCGACCCCAGAAGGATGATGGGCTGAGGTGAGAAACCATTAGTTTAGGCACATACGACCTCATTCAGCAAAAAAATGTTGTACAGTATATGTTGTAATTAAATGTGAGTGTCCGTGAAAATGCAGGCACAGATCCCATAAGATTAATATTTAAGTGCATTGGCTTTCATTACCACCAGACCTACTTATGCAATAATTTAGATTATATTATACTGGCATTGAGGTTGATTCGGAAACATTATAACATATTTATTGCCAGCAGTTGTATGTCTTCCTCGTATTCAAGGCTTGTATTCAAATCAAGCTATAAACAAGGTCAAGGCTAAGTGACAGTGCAAAACTAAAACACCCATAACCACAAGCATCGTGCACTACGCTGAAGAGACATCTTGCTTTAACGATCCCATCAGCGCTTTGTGAGGTACTTCTTGCAGCATCAAGTATGTCCTTACTTAAATCCATAGGGAGCTCTAATGCATCATCAGCAACTACAACATATCCGTATCTTGTTTCTATAAATAACGTTAGTTACACGCGGATCAATAGTACAGTAAAATAGAGATATTTGTTAAACCCACCATCCAAGGAAGTTTCCAAGAAAAAGCCCCCCAATTAGCCACGATTTACATTGTGTTATATTGGACAGCCTGTGCAATTGCACAATATAAAAAAAACGGAAGATTGGCAAGAACTTATCTAAACTATTTTTTTTATTTTACCAGGTGAGGCCCACTGAGTTATTATATAGCTCTTTTTCAAAAGCGACCTGGGGAAAAATGATAGCTCAACGAAGTAGCTTATCACGTTGAATTGTATAACAGCCAAACACTCTCCACGCATGTTGATTCTAAATGTGGAGGGAAAACCCGCAGGATCTGGACAAAAATCCACGCGACCGCGGGGAGAACATGCAAACTCCAAATATACAACAGGAGTCAGGGTCGGGATCAAACCCACGACCTCCTGTATACCAGGCGAGGTAGTTAACATCTCGTCACCGTGGCGCCCAACCATCCTACATATCAGCATTTGCATCCTATTATTCAATATGAAGTTACAGTGTTACCGTGTCATTTTATTTTCCGTGCAAAAAGCCAAATATTTACGATCCGTGATGGGTATTTCAGAGCGCAAGGCAACAACATGCTGGGAAATATTGTTTTTTAATCTTAAACGATGGACTGAGCATCAGATCAATGACAGGTGGCTCTCCGCAAAAGCACTCCTGTAATGTGCCGTTTTGTTTTTCTTTTCAAGCGAAACAATAAGCCACGCGACGACGAGAGATGACAAACAATGCGTTTCTGCTGTTGATGCAGATGCGATCAATTATTCAAAGGGAGATTCTTCAGACAATTCCTCGTGGCTATAAAGCAAACCCCGTTGCGCCCACTTCAATGGCTAGACTCCTCTCATTACTTATTAACTGGACGAGAAAGTCATTTTCTCCTGTCATTTCCACCCGTGGTTATTTTGTTGTCTGTCGCCCAAACAAAGAATAATGCATTGTTTTTCATGCAAATTGCCTTGGACGCCGGTGCATGCATTGTCGCTCACTGCTGCTCCCTAGACATGCACATAAGCTAAATGAGAAATCCCTGGCTTATAATTTATAAGACTGTGCTAAAATCGTTGTTAAATAAGAATATACACGTGGTAACACAATATACAAAGATGCTTAGTTCAACGATGATACACTGAAAACAACATTCATACGTAATCGGCTCTCATTAAAGTACAGCATTTTGTTCCGAATGCCTTTGTATGGTAGTTAAAGTGCGTATTTTAGACTGGAACATATTACGTAGAACAATAACAACAGTGGGGAAAAAGAAGAGCAGAGCCTATACTTGAACAAAGAGGACAAAGCAATTTCTTAAGTTACGCCTATTTCCACGGTGGCATGTTTGTGTACAATATACAGTCTTGTAATAATTTCTGGTGTTTAAAATGTTTACTCTTTCACCTACACGTGATTGACCCTTGGGTTACACCCATCTCAAACCTTTATAACTCCCTGCCTTAGCAGCGCTCACGCCAGATATTTGTTCCTGCTTCAGCAGCTCTCACCTGATGACCATTGCTTGTGTTGCGATCGAAACGTCGTGTGATATTGTGATTATTTTTATTATTTTTCTATCTACGTGGCTTTACCGAAAGACCCAAAGAATATGACCTGAATAGTTTTTACAGCCTCTTGCATTGTCACCTAAGTTCACAATCCTGTCATGGAACTTATTTACTACTATAATGGGCCAAGAATGTCTGTGTGTCCCGCGTGTGACGTCACTCCACGTCGGCCAGCCCCCCCTCATTAATAATCATGACCCTGTGACGTCTTCCAAATGGACACCCCCCCCCCTCATTAATAATAATTAGCGGCTGACGTCACTCCACATGGGGGCCGAGGCACCTCCTCCCCCCTCCTCAGCGTCAACTCACAGCCCTCACTACAAAGGCAGAACCCTCACGTCACGTGATCTCCGTAACGCTATTGAGACATCGAAGTAAAAAGGACGTCATGATGAACAAGGGATTACAACCTTGAAATGAAATAAGTCTGTGTCACCGCGGCCTTACAAACTACACACGAATTGATGCAATGAATATCACGTCGCAATCTGCTTTTCGCTTGCAAGTTTCAGATTTACTGCAATACACCCGTCGTCCTTGGACGGGCAAAAGGCTAGTTTATGTTATAAAAGGTCAATGTTAAAAGCAATATCGTGGCAGTGCTTAAGTGTCTGTCAAATTATGATTGCAGTGCATCGTTTGTTAATTTGTTATTTAAAGGTTAATCAATAGATGGCTTCAACAGCATAATTTATTTGGTAAATAGTATACCAGCACATATTACAATTAAGTGCGTAATTTCTGACTGAATATTTTCCAGTTCTCTGGCAGACTGGAGTAGGTACGTAAATAATATCCATATATCTGTTATAACCACACCAAAGATCGTGTACTTGAAATAACTAAAAAAATGTAATTGTGCTGTTACTCTCCTGCAAACTGTGACTTCAGAAGCGATAATAAATTAAACAAAAATCATAAATCATGTAAATAGCAAAAACGACTCTCCAGTCTGGAAACATTCTTTGAAGTTAAAAAAAAATATCTATCAGTGATGAGACAAACCTATTAAAAGTATATCCACATAAAAGCTTCTCTAGATTCTATACTTTAAATCTTAACTGGGGTACACGTACCCCCTGGGGTGAGAGATGCCCTTTCTGGGGGTGCGAGACATTCCAGATTTTTTTCAGAAGGTTAATAACCGAAATCAAACTCATGTATTTGTTAACATTATACAAAGGGGTGCAAGGTTGCAGTAAAGGTTAAGAACGACTGATTTAACTGAATGGAATAATGTAGAGTGCAGTACTTCCTCTATGGCATCATGTCAAACGTCTAAGATAAGGGACACGGGCGTTTCTATCGCGAGTGGGTTTTTTTACCATACTTCACCACACTGGTCAATGGTGGTCGGTAGTAGTTGGGCACCTCGACACGAAAACACAGATCTACTGGACATCTGTGAAAAGGAGCTTCATAGCTCTTCGGATTCCTCCAATATGAATACATATTCCGATTCTGATTCTACAATACATCAATGTTAACCCACCACATAGCCGCACAGCCTATAACAACCTGTTTGTGCATGGTGATTACCAATAGAAGCAAAATACAGGCTGAAGATCTGCCTACTTTCCCAGATCGGGCACATTCCAGGCGATTTGGTCCGAGGCTAATGTGGAAACAGACGTGAGTCGGTGTGCATCTGGCTGATATCAATTACGTGGAAAGTTGTCATTACGTAAACACGTGAATGATGAAAGTTTCCTTTTTGGCGTGTCGGAAATCCTGAGTTGACTCATTTTCACGTCGACCGTAGGCTAATAAAAAAAAACCACTCCACCCTTCACCCACATTCATTCGTTATCTGCTATGACAAACATTGGCAAGATATGAGAACTGGCCAAATATTACGATACCGTACCTGCAATTGCTTTCAGGATCAAAGATAAACCTAGCAAACCCCTTGTCAGGTAATCGATAGCTACTATTAGGTAACTATGCATATGCCTATTTGTATGCATGTGTGTATGTTGGACTTCTTTCGCACCGTACATGTCATCATAAATACATTTTAATTTTCATCAGGCCCAGTAGTGATAAGTGCAGTATCCAACGCGTATTAACTCTCATCTCTCTGGTCTCTGTTCATGTGCTATGAAGAAGGACCATTGCCAAAACTGTCACCGATGACATTTGTGTACATGTATACGTGTTCTGTTGAGGCCGTGTTGTTGATTGATGTGTGTTGAGTAAAACTGTGCTTGTGCGCCGCTGCCAACACGACATGATTTCCTAATATTTTGTTTCAACAAAAAATTACGTGAGTGTGTCTCATTAACTGGGCAGCATGTGTGTGTGTATGTGCGCAAGACCACATTTTTACGTAACTTTGCCGACACGAGGAACACTTTGTAGTGCGTCTTACTCTCCGGAGCCACTTACAATCTGGAGAATATGTTATTTAATGTAATGACTTAAATTAATGTCAATATTGGACTCTATGTAATTTTAAAAAGTGACATTTATATATCAAGTGTCTGGGCTGGCTTCGGGTCCAGGTGTGCTGTACAATACAATTGCCCCACTTAAGTATCCCAAACGTGTAATTAAGGAACGTCCTGATGAATTATTCAGACCTCGGCAAACATTCCACCAAATATAAAATATGTATGGCACACACATCAGCGGTATTCTCCCAGCGCCCCCGGTGTGTCTGTTCCAAAGACAGGAAAGGAACTTGTAAATATTACTACAACATCCTGGCTTGGACATACTTACTGTACGTGGTCCTGAATGAAGCATCATTTGAAATATGCATATACACATAGAAATATTTTGGTTTACTGGAGATATTTCTGGGATAAAAAAAAACATGTTTAAAAAAAAACATCAATAAGTTCGTATCTGTATTACTCTATAAAGTATCACTTTTGTAAAATATTTATGAAC